TTCTTTAATTTAGGACATGTTATTTTGTCAACTCACATTGCTGATTCTGTGTTTGTTTCTATGTATTAGGTAGATCTGCGTCTCCCAGTCTTGGCAGAGTGTCCTTATGTAGTAGCTGTCCTTTGAGGCCCAGAGGCATAGTATTCCTGATTACCTGAGCCAGATGCTCCAGGTGTGTCCCTTGTGTGGTTTTTGTGTGCCCTCCTGTTGTCATTTAGCCTTAATTGCTATTGGCACGTCAGTGGCTGGAGTTGATCCTTAGGCTGACTGGCTGTGAGAGCTTATGGTGACTACAGTGGACTACAAGCTATTATGTGGGGGCTGAACCCAGAGAGTGAGAGTTATTTTAGTGGGGGCTATGGTGCCCCTCAAGTTCACTCTTTGGGTGTGTCATGTGTGGAGCTGGTTAGGTGGTGCTCTTGTGTGGTCTGAAGCAGGCCACTGTGTATGTTGGTTCTGGAGCCTCTTGGGAAGGGCTCTGGTGCAAGCCAAGGTCTGCTGCCACTTTTGCCCAGCTTCAGACTGCCTGGTGGGAGCTGGAAAGGTGGTATTTGGTTGGTTGTAGCTGTTCTGGGTTTAAAGGCACTGGGAAAGGCTATACTGTGATGTGAGGTCAGCTGCCACTAGTACTAGTCTTGGGCCACTTTGATAGGCACCACAGTGTGAGCTGAGGTCAGCTGAGGTCTTGCCATGCAGCCAGTTAATCTATTCTAAGCCAACACTTGCTATAGCTTAATACAGCTTGGGGCCACCCAACAGGAATTACAATGTAAGTTGAGACCGGTGGCCACTTGTACTGGGCTTAGGCTGCTTAGCAAGAGATACAGGACATACCAAGGCTATCTGCTGCTTATTTGGGGCTTGTGAACCTTTGAAAGATTTTAGGAATGTTCGTACCTTGAGCTGAAGCATTTCACTCATATGGAAAAACTCAGGCAGGGCAAGGGAGTTGAGTGGGAGACCAGGCCTCAGGGAATCACCAGGGTGGGGTGAAAGGTGTTAGCCAAATTGACGAAGAGCTCAAATTCGATATCTGCCTGTGCTAGTCCAGCCGAATGGGAGGAGAGTTCAACAAAGGAACAGTGGTACTTACTAGCACTTGTGTCCCTGGGGAGAGGTACTCTGTCCCCAGCCCCTTGAGCCCTCACTTTGAATCTAGTTAATTTAGATATTTCCCTGTATGTCCCAGGCACTTTTTGAGCTGCTGCCCCTGCACCAGAGCCCAGATCAAGGGAGTTTGCCAGTGAGTGAATCTGTGCTTGGCCCCTTTAAGAGGACACCTTGGTATACAGTGGCTCTTTGTCTTACTCAGATGCAGTCCCTGTTGTTTTTCACAGCCAGATGTTATGGGGACTCCTCTTCCTGGCAGTTGTGTTCCAGGCTGAGAAGCCTGGTGTGAGGCTTGGACCCCTCTCTCCTGAGGAGAGACCTCTGCAGTCAAGATATCCCTCTTGATTCTTAATTGTCACATTGTGGTTGTGGGACTTGCCCATTCCATGTCTCCATCTCTCCTACTGGTCTCATCCTGGCTACTGCTTATATCTTTAGTTATAGGAGTTCTGTTCAGCTAGTCTTCAGGCAATTCTCAGTGATGGCTGTTATATAATTATAATTTTGATGTGGTCGTGAGAGAGAGTGAGCACAGCAGTTACCTACTCTGCCATCTTGACCAGTAGTAATCCATTCACATTAATGTTATTATTGATATACTTGGATTTACATCTTTCATTTTACTTTTTGTTTCTGTTTCTCTGAGGTTTTTTTGTTTGTTTGTTTCTCTGTACTTTAATGCTTTTTTGTATCAAATACATATATACTAATGTAAATAACATTTTAATTCCTTTAATAACTTCAGATTATGTGTTAAAAACAGCAATACATAGTTAAAATATTACTTTATATATTTTTACGTCTAGAAAATTCTAAAAGAAACTGCAAGAAGAAAAAATACATAATTTTAGGTTTTGTATATTACCTTTCTTACTGGTTCCCTTTTGTTCCTATGGCTTTGAGTTACCATCTGGTTCCATTTCCTTCCTCTAAGACAGCTTCACTCTCACTCTTTTTGCTGTCATTGGCAAATGTATTACACTTGCTATGTATATATACATTTTACATATCTAACCTTTATTATGTATATAGGCCCACCAATACAATTATATATGTATTATTTTATATGACTGATTTTTAAATCAAGAGAAGAAAAGAGGAAATATGTATTTATTTTTTTTTAATATAATTACATAATTATCTTGTGCTGTTTGTTTTTTCATGTGGACTCATTACGTTCTGGTATCAGCTGCTTTCAACTCGAATTACTTCTATAATTGCTTATAAAGCAGGTCTGCTAGCAACGATTCTCTCAGTTTTTATCTGGGAGTGTCACTATTTCACATTTATTTTTGAAAGATAATCTTTCTGCAGTCTCCAATCTCAGTGATGAGAAAACATCTGTTTAATCTTATAGTGGTTTCTTAATACATGAGAGTCATTTTTCTCTTGCAGCTTTAAGGTTCTTCTCTTTGGTTTTGCCTTTTAAAATTTTTACTATTGTGTGTCTGATTTTGGGTCTTTTTGCATTTGTCCTCCTGTCACTGACCCATATGGGTCAGGAACCTCAAATCAGAGTCCTTCTGCCCAGTGTCACTCATGCCAATGGAATGAGAGTGTATTTGGTAAAGCAGAGCAGACACTTTATTTTTGATCAAAGAATGGAGAGGGTGAGCTTATGCTGGAAAGGCACCTCCTTAATTTGGAGGAAATGAGGAGAGTCTTATAGGATTGGTGGGAGATAGGGGTGGAGATTTCTGAGAAAGGGTGGAGAGTTCTCGGAATAGTGGGGGACCATGAGTATGCGCAGTTCCGAGACATGCTTGGAACATGCCTTGCTACATATCACATGTCTCATTTTAATGTTAAGTCTCCACTCCTCGGTGTGGTCTTTTGTATGCTCATGAAGAAGAAAAGTTGTCAACAGGTCAATTGGCAAGGAGTTTGGGGCACTGTCTTGGATCTTTCCTGTGCAGAGTGTTTTTGTAGCTGTGGTCTTTGGGTTTCTTTTTTCAGGCTTAACTTGCCCTAGAATTTCTGCCACTTCTTGACAAGTTCAGCCTCTTTTAGTCAGGAGATATGTTGTCAAAGGTGTAAGAGGTGACAGGCGAATTAATAGAAGTTTAAGGATTGATTAATAATGTGGTAGCACAACCTCGTGACATTAAAGTTCATTGAGCTTTGATGTTTTTCGAATATTTTCCTAGTCCTTTTTTCTTCTTCTGGTACTTTTAGTATGCCTGTGTTGGTGGTGCACTTATGGTGTCGCACTTAATGGTGTCTCTGAGGCTGTGTTCATTTTTCATTTTTCTCTCTGATCTTCAGATTGCATAATCTCTCTCTTCAAGTACATTGATTTTTTTTTTCCTGTCAGCTTAGCTTTATGATTGAGCCCTCTAGTGAATTTTTCATTTCATTTATTATACTTTCAACTCCAGAATGTCTATGTTTTGTCTCTTTTCATAAATATAATCTATTTGGTGAGACATTGACCCTGTATGATCCCTTACTTCCTGAAACATGATTTCTTTCTCTTTAATTCTTTGAACATATTTTTTATTGGCTTTTTAAAAGTCTTTGCTAAGTTTGGCATATAGGCTCTCAAGGGTAGTTTAGCTTATGTTGGGTTATACTTTCCTGTTTCTTTGCATGTTCATAATTTGTTGTTAAAAACTGAACATTGCAGCAACTAGATACAAAACCACTCTTCCTCTGGCTTACAGTTGTTGTTTGCTTATTTGTTTACTGTGATGGCTAGACTGTTTTAGCAAAGTATATTTCATGAGCATGCGCAGAGTAATCCTGGGATAACAATGGTCTTATGAGGGCTCTCTTTACTGTCCTTCTCTGATCTTTGTGTTACACTGTCTGCTTGAGTTGTTATCAAGATGCTATTCCTGCCTCCATTAATTGCAGGTTGATTGCTCCTGTTTTCAACAGTGCTCTGGGGCATAAATTGCTATACCATCTTGATCCAATAAATTTGGGGGCCCTTCTCATAGGTAATCTTTGAGGCCAGTCTTTGAGGTTTGTTCCTACCCTGTAAGGGCTCTCCTTAGTTATCAGGTAAATTTCTGGCTGGTCTGTGGTTAGCTTGTTGTTCTCATGGAACTGCCAGCCTCTTCTTAATTGCTTACCACCACAATCTCCATTATTTTCAAAAGTGCCCTTAGGCTTAAACTTCCCAACATTCTGGCTGAAATAAAGTCAGTTCACTTGGGAAGAACAGCCGAGCCCTTTACCTTGGCAGATGCAATTTCCAGCTTCTTCCATTAAGTATCAGTATGGAGCGGACAGAACCCCCTCCCTCAGAGAGGTCTGTGTCCCAGCTCCCTGATGCTGCGTACTCTGAGTCCTGAGGAACAGGAGGAAGCAGAAGCTAGATAGCACCCCCTTCGTTAGAGTTCTGAATCCCAGCTCTAGGCTTTTTGGTGCTGATAAACGAACTTCCTCCCTTTGTTTCTCCTGGGATGGACGCAGAAGCTGCTTTCTGTGGTTCTTAGCTCTAGGGCGCCCCCGTGAGCTCCTTTTGCTTTTCCAGCTCTCCAACATCTATTTAATTGATTCCTTATTATTTATACTAAATTATCTCTTAAGTATAAATTTATACTGAATTCTTTCTGTTAAAATACTTGTATAGTTTTATTTTTAACCTGCGACCAGATGAATTCCTCTAAAACACAGCTCTCAAGTTATTCCTCTGACAAAATTAAACAAAACGAAAAGCTATTATTAGTTCCACGGCTACCTTTTTACAAATTCAGATCTATATTAAATATAAGTCATTATTAGTTTCACCAGCTACTTGATTTAAGGAGGAATTGTTTTTCTGTATTTTCTGTTCCAGATTATGATTTTAAGTTCTTGATCATTGCTTCTGTCTCAGGAGTTTATTTTATTGCAAACCAGTAAGGCAGATAGCAAATATGTTTATATAATTCTCTTCATAGGAGAGCCTCCATTCTTACCAGAATCTTTCGACCGAATTCTTCTTGATGCACCCTGCAGTGGAATGGGACAGAGACCAAATATGGCTTGTTCTTGGACTTTGAAGGAAGTGACGTCTTATCAGCCATTACAGCGAAAGCTCTTTACTGTGGTATGTGTTGATACTTTGCTGTGAAAGAAAGTTGGCCTTCACTAGTTTGATGTTTCAGAGCTTGAGAGTAGTGTGTATAGCAGCATCATTCCCAATAACCAAAATGTGGAAACAACCCAAGTGTCCATCAACAGATAAATGAATAAGCAAAATATGGTATATACATATAATGGAATATTATTCAGCCTCACAAAGGAATGAATTCTGATACATGCTACAACATGGGTGAACTTTGAAAACATTATGCTGAGTGATATAAGCCAGACAAAAAAGACAAATATTGTATGATTCCATTTATATAAGGTAACCAGACTAGGCAAATTCATAGAGACTAGAGTTTACCAGGAGCTGGAGGCTTGAAAGAATGGGGAGTTATTGTTTAATGGGTACAGAGTAAGTTTGGGATGATGGAAATATTCTGGAGATGGATAATGGTGATGGTTGCCCAACAATGTGGACGTACATAGAATTGTACACTTAAACATGGTTAAAATGGTAAGTTTCTTATATGTATATTTTATCAGACAAAAAAAGACAGAAGACCTAGTTTTAAATTCAGGGAGCTTTTCCTTATGTTGACTCACTCTTTCATTATAGGCAATAGTAGAATTTCTTTACTGAGACATAACGAATTTCAAACATTCTGCTTTATCTTTAAAAAAATCACTAGATTGTTTACTACTTGATGTAAAGAATTAGATATAAAACAAATTACCCTTTTTAATAGTGTTCCTGGATCATTTGAAGATAGCAAATTAAAAGTGGGAAGTCCAGTTATATAAATGTCTAATCATTGCTGTACACCTAAAACTAATAAAATATTGTATGTTAACTGTAATTGAAAAATAAAAAAAAATTAATGGCAGTCCAATGAGAATTAAAATGGGAAGTGACAGTGTCAGGCATAGAAGAATCATAAAAACTTTGCAAATCTGACTGGTCTTCAGTTAGAATCTCAGACGGAATATCCAAGGATTTTTCTCATTCTTGCAAAAATGATACTGTAGATTTCACAGAATATAAACAACATTTGACCAAGGATTACTTCATTATTTTCTCTCAGGATTACTTCATTATTTTCTCTTAATTATAAACACATAGGCTATAGCAGTAATGGATACAATATTATTCAGTCTCTAAAGTTGTCCATTAGTACATTTTTAGTCATCTCTTCTGGTGTCTTCTTTCGCACTGGCAATGGATTATTTTACTTTTTCTTATTTTATACAGTCTGTGAAGAATACATCCTGGGAATTAAAAGAGCCAGCAGCATTAAAAAAGTTTTACTTGTAGGCAAAACTCACTTTGACTTGAGGGTAAAATTAGGACACTGTTTTAAAAACACTTTTTGTTTGTTTGAGGCCGTAGCAAAAAAGAAAATTCAAAAAGGCCACTTAGGATGCATCATCTCAATGAAAAGGAACAGCCAACAGTGTTAGAATTGAGAATATGGCAGGTATACCACCTGGCATGGATAGAAACTGAGAAGAATGTGGACCTTAGAATCAGACACATGTTTTTTCTATTAATTTATTTTCCAGTTACAGTTGACATACAATATTATATTAGTTTCAGGTGTGCAATATGGTGATTAGACATTTATATAACTTACGAAATGATCACCCCGTTAAGTCTAGTAACTGTCCGACACCATACATAGTTATTACAATACTATTAACTACCCTATGCTATACTTTGCATCCCTGTGACTGTTTTTATAACTGGAAATTTGTACTTAATCTCTTTCACCTTTTTCACCAATCTCCCTCCCATCCGGCAACCATCTGTTCGTTCCCCATATCATGAGTTTATTTCTGTTTTGTTTTCAATTTTTTTTAGATTCCACATATAAGCAAAATCATATGGTGTTTGTCTTTCTCTGTCTGACTTATTTCACTTGGCATTAATACCCTTAGGTCCATCCATGTTGTCGTAAATTGTAAGATTTCATTCTTTTTTTTATGCCAAGTAATATTCCATTGGATATTTGAACTGTATCTTCTTTATCCATTCGTCTGTCATTGGACACTTAGGTTGCATATCTTGACTATTGTAAATAATGCTGCAATGAACATAGGGATGCATGTTTCTTTTCAAATTAGTATTTTGGATTTCTTCGGATAAATATCCAGAACTGGGCTTGCTGGGTCATATGGTAGTTTTATTTTTAATTCATTGAGGAAACTCCATACTGTTTTTCACATAATTTTCTTTTTTTATAGTGTCTTTGTCTAGTTTTGGTATCAGGGTAATGCTAGCCTCGTAAAATGAGTTTGGTAGCCTTCCCTTCTCTTAAATTTTTTGGAACAGTTTGAAAAGAATAGGTAATTCTTTTTTGAATGATTGGTAAATTCACCTGTGAAGCCATATGGTCCAAAGTTTTTGTTTGTTGGGAGTTTCTGATTACTTATTCAAATTAGTTATTAGTATTGGTCTGTTCAGATTTTCTTCCTGATTTCAGTCTTGGAATATTGTATCTTTAGGAATTTATTCAATTTTTCCAGGTCGTCCAATTTGTTGGCCTATAATTATTCATAGTGTTTTCTTAGAATTCTCTGTACTTCTGTGGTGTCTGTTGTCACTTCTCTTTCATTTCTGATTTTATTTGGGCCCATTATTTTCTTTTATGAGTCTGGCTAAAAGTTTATAAGTTTATCTTTTCAAAGAACTAGTTCTTGATTTCATTGATCTTTTCTGTTGTTTTTTTAAGACTCAATTTTATTTATTTCCACCCTGATCTTTATTATTTCCTTCTTCTCACTTTGGTCTTTGTTCTTTTTCTAGTTCCTTTAAGTGTAAGGTTAGATTGTTTGAGCTGTTTCTTGAGGAAGAACAGAATCAGACACATTTTAATTGGAGTTGTGCATCCTCCACATAAGTGACTTCGGGTACATTGATTCCACATCTGAGGAATAATAATAACTACCTAATAGGGTTACCTAATTGGAGATAGCAATCATACCTCATAGTTGTTATAGGATTTATCGAGAAAATCCATGTAAAGTGCTTAAAATAATAGCTTGCACACAGTAACAGAGTTTAAATTTTGATCAGCATATTCTGGTTTAAAAAGCATAAGTATTATTACATATTTTTAAAAATCATTAAAAATTTAAAAAAGGTAAACTTTAGTTACTTGGGATAAATTCATTTTTGTATAATACCTTATTTCCTGATTCATTTATTTCCTGGGCAAATATTCATCGAGCACCTGCTGTATGTAATATGTTAATCTAGATGCTAACAATACAGTAGTGAAAAAAGTAAATGGTCCCTGCCTTATTCATGGGGTTTCTATTCTAATTAGGGGAGAAAATTAACAAATAGATGAGTAAGTTATTTAGTTTATTATAAGGCAATAATCCTGTGGAGCAAGCTAAAGAAAGGAAGGGGTGCTGGATTGGAATAGGTACCATTTTACATAGGGCGGTCAAGGAGGGCGTTGCTGGAAAGGTGTGACATATAAGCAAAGATAATTGTGAAGGAGCAAGCAATGCAGAGAATTAGAGGAGCTTTTCAAGCTTGTGCGCAGAGCCTGTGGGGTGTGCCATGCGTGTTCCAGAACAGCAGAGGCCAGTGTTGCTAAAGCAGAGTGAGCATGTGGTCAAGGTGGATCGGAACAGCGGCTAGAGGCCTGCTTTGTGTAGGGCCTCAGAAGCCACTGTCAGGACTTGGGCTTTGACTCCAAGTGATAATGGAGGGCATTCAAAGGGTTTTGAGCTGAGATGTGACAAGTTTTGAAAGTACTTCTCTGGATACTGTATAGAATAGATTGTAGGATGGCAGAGGGGAAGCAGGGGGACTAAGTAGGAGACTGTTACAGTAATCCAGGCAAAAGTTCATGAGACTTGGACCAGGATGGTAGCAATGGAAGTGGTGAGAAGTAGCCAAATTCTGGGTATATTTTGAAGGTAGAGACAGTAGGATTTGCTGATATAAGGAGAATGTGAGAGAGTAATGTGATAAAGGATAATCTAAGGTTTGGGCCCTGAGCATCTGGAAGGATCGAAGTACTTCTCCAGTAGGTTTCAGTGGGAAGATAGGGTTTCAGTTCAAGACATGTCAGATTCCATAGTAGAAATATTGAGAAGGCTATTGTATATATGAATATGGAATTCTGAAAGGAGTCTGGCCCAAAAATGTAAATTTGCTGTCTGAAGTTGTGAAACTGACTAATCAGATTTAGGAGACTCTTGTTTCAAATGGACTATAACAGCTCTAAGGTAACATCTGATTAAGAAAGAGTCCTGGGCATACACAACATCATTCTGTTTATCCCAAACATTTGAAAGGTATTGTGTAGATACAGAATTCCTTAAACTGTTTGGCCTTGTGGTAGGTGTAGTCTGATCACATTTTTCTTTAGGCAGTGAAGCTGCTGAAGCCGGGGGGTGTGTTGGTTTATAGCACATGCACCATCACACTGGCAGAAAATGAAGAACAAGTGGCCTGGGCCCTCACAGAGTTTCCTTGCCTTCAGCTTCAGCCCCAGGTAAGAATAATTCCCATTTTTTTGTTATCATCTTATTACACCAAAACCTAAGCGTGGTAATAAACACGGGCTGTTATATGAAGAAATGTTAAGTAAAACTGCTATAACAAATATTGCTATAAGCAAAAATGTTTCTCTCGTTAAGTCCATTTTAGACTGCCTGTAAAGAGTTTCACATCCTGACATTTTTTTCGTGTTCATTCCTTGCCATTGTATGAATGCACAACAGAGCTCAGGTATATTTTTGCTAGGTGCTTCTTTGATTTGTGGGTCTTGTTCATGTTACTCGGCACTTTGTTTCCAAGAAGTTTCTTTTCCTCCTCCTAGTCCTAGATTTTTTAGATAAGAAAAATGTTGAGCATTTTTTCTTATGTCACATCAGAGCCCAAACAGGCTTTAAAATAACTGTGATATCAAAAGACTAGCCAAAGAGAGAAAATGGTTCAGGATTATTGCTTCTTTATAGTCTCTTATAGATTGTATAATATTTAAAACCTTTCTTGTCCTTTAACTAGCACTGTCTTTCTGTTATGGTCTTTATTGAAAAGATAATTTATAACTAGATTTTTAGCCCATGGTGTTTGAGATTAAGCTTCAACCTGTACTCATGCTCACATTCATTCAGCTACTTTGAACATGTAACTTTAGTCCCTTCCTGTATCAAAGCCTAGTAGGTAATTGGAATATGTAAATAAAAAACAATCGAGATGGTTTCTAGATGCAGAAATTAAGATAATTACATTGTAGATGAAGGGAAGACTTGAGAATTCACTTGGAATTTGGTGTGTGTGTGTACATATTTACACATATACTCAATATATATCTAAAAAAAATGGAATTTTTTCCCCTTTGGGTTAATAAACAATAGGTTTTCAGACATATACCTAAGAAAATATATTTTCAGTAACACAAATTTGTCTGCAAATTGGGGACTTAAATTAGGATTACAGATCTTTTGCAGTAGTAGTCTGAAAGCATCAGTCAATTCGTTATGATTTTTTATTCTAAACTAATTGATACAGTCTTAATTGATCTCTTTCTAATATTCTAGTGCATTTAAAAACAACAAAAAAACATTTATCATCCAATTGGTATGGGTCAGAGAGAAGCACCTTTAGAGACCTAAGGAGCTCCTGTGAGTTTAAGGGAGTCTGATAAATAAAACTGAAGTTTTATCTATTGCTGTTATTGATAATGTTCCATTTATCAAGGACCATATGCCTCTATGCCAGGCAATATATGCCAAGCATGAGACCACGCTTATTTAAGTCTCAGAACTGAGTATTTTGTTTTATAGATGAGGAAACAGAATTAAGTAAAATTACTTGCCAAAGGTCACACAGATAAAAGGTTGCAGAGCTACAATTTGAATCCAGTTTTAACTGTGCAGCTCAGGCCTTTTGCTGTGTCATGGTATTGATAAGCATATGAACTGTAATAGGTATTCTTCAGGTGGCCACATTACTGCTTTCCTACTTTGGAAAGACAGTATGTACATTCTACAAAAATAAAAGGTATTTATTAACTTTTTCTATTGTTGGAACTTGTGATAATCACAACCCAATTTGTCTTTTAACTTAAATTGTGCACAGGCACACTTACTAATTCTAGGATGTTTGTTCATATTTATTCATTTCCTCCAAACAGGAACCTCAGATTGGAGGGAAAGGAATGATGGGAGCTGGCCTTTCGTTTGAACAATTGAAACAGCTGCAGCGGTTTGATCCATCTGTTGTGCCTTTACAGGACATGGACATTGAATCTCTCAGAGATGCCAGCGTAGACATGATTAGGCTGGCAAATAAGGATTGTATAGGGTTTTTTATTGCAAAATTTGTAAAATGCAAAAGCACACAGGAGAAGGAGCCTTCAAAATGAAAATTCCAAACATTCATTCTGTGCCTGCGTTCGTGTGTGTGTGTGTGTGTGTGTGTGTGTGTGTGTGTGTGTGTCTGTCTGTCTGTGTCTGTCTGTGTAAAAACCAAACTGTTGTCAGGCCAAGTGATTGATGGCATGGTTGCTAAGGAAACAGAAAAGGCTGCCAGCTGTTTCACCAAGGATCAGGAGAAGAAGTGTTTGGGGGTGGTATGAGATTATGAGATTTTGTAATTTTAAAATATTTTTTTCTTTATGGTTTTAGCAGAGTATAAAGAAAGGGAGATACCTATAGATGTCTGGAACATATTTTCATTTGGGTTCTTGTTTTAATTTGTAAAGAATGAAAGTCATTTGTAATGTTAATTGGTGAATCTAACAAAAGGAATACAATTAGCAATATTTAATTTAGTTTTTAGAACTAGTTTTCCAATCCTGATTTCCTGAGTAGTAGTTCCTTAAGAACTCAGGGCATGAGAAGTATGACATTGACCTTGTGCCAATAACCAGGCCAGGAATTTTACCTCTTTTTCTGCTTACTATTTGGTAAATAAACCCTCTTTCAAATGAAGTCTGGACTGCTTCTAAAATAGTTTGCCGTTACTGCGTTTACTTTTTTTTCCCCCATGATTTTAAACTAAAAAGTAAAATGAATATTTTTTTCACTTTGTAGATTAAAATAAATGAGGATATTTCACAATTCGGGTACCTTTTATCATGTACTGGAACACTTACTATAAAAGTTATGAGAGACGTGTTTGGTGAGAAAGAGGAAGACAGCTTCTGACAGCTGGAATGGGCCTGGCACTGACAGGTAGGCCTTGGTGTTCTCTTGCTGAACATAATTGCACAGAACGCCAACATCAGACAAGGCTACTGTGATTATAGTAGATCAAGGCACAAAAAGAGCACTTCATAATCAAATCCAAATTTAGATAAAAACAAGAACATCATCCAAATCACAGAAGTGACCAAACATCCCCCTGTTGGGGCCAATATAAGTGACTGCTTCTTTTTTTTTTTTAAATTATAACCTTATGTTTGCTTCATCCTACATGCTTTTTAGATAAGATATATTTAAATGTCCAATACCCAGCCCTAGGTTAAAGGCCACTCATGTAGAGTTATATACATGTTCTTGTTAATTTTCATTCAAATCACCCCAAAATTTCTGAGCTTTGGGCATGTAAAGTGAACAGTGGGAAACAACTGCTTAATAGTTTTTTCCCCCTGTAGGTTTCTCTTAGGAATGCTGGTGACTGTCGATGGTATCCACCAAGATGGCAAGGCCTCCTGGATCAGGTAAGACCTTTATATGGCCTCGCCTTTGAGGAAGCCTTTCTTGAACACCCTTCCCTGAACTTGGGTTGGGCATTTCTCTCTGTATACCCCTAGGGCCCATAGTGCCTGCTGTTGAGGCACTTTGAACAGTTTATTAGGCAGGCCCCTAACTACCACCCTGACGTGGGAAAATCCTGGAGGCAGGCACCCTCTCTTTTCTGTCACTGCTGCAGAGCAGATTGCCAACAAATGCTTGCTAAAGATAAAAATTTTTCAAGCTCTGTGAGATTCAGATATGTGAAGGATTTCTTTAATCCTTCATTGTACCTTATCTTCAGTAGATGTCATTTTACTAAAGAGAAATACTGTTTACCTGTGGCACTTCTGTTTCTAGGGCTCAGCATACTTCCCCAAACTTTAAATGTATTTTTTTTAAAGTACATAGAATCCATTTCCTATCATGCTCTCTACGAGGCCTAATGTGCTAAGCCAAGATGAAAATGGTAGAGAATTAGCCTAGCAGCAAACGTGAATTTTTGGTTAATACTGACAAATATCAAAATATGAGCAACATAGACTAAATAGAAGAAAAAATATTTACATATTAAAATCAACAAGGACAAATTAATATTGTTAAAATTTTTTCCTTTAACATACATATTTAGTGGGCTTTTTTCCTTCAAAAAATAAAGCAAATTGGAAAATAAAACACATACTCAATCTTAAAGGACTAGGAAACTTAAGAAAAAATACAATGAAAAGAAAAAGATCAGGAAAATGTGGAAGAAAATTAATATATTATCTTTTAACATATTTAGTGTTGACATAGATATTTCTGTGAAACAGAAAAAGCATTTTAATTGAACGGTGAGTACATTTTACTTCAAAATCCTGTATCACAGTTTAAATAGCAAAGTGAAGTACAAAGAGTTAAAAATATAATTTAGCCAAAATTAACCAACTGACCCAAAACCATCTAGTTACTATTTTTCTCTAACAGTGTGACTCTTGATGTTTTAATAAGATCAGAGTATCCAAGACTAGCAGCGTTACATTATTGATCCAAGGGACAAGAATGAGGAATTAAATTTGTCATCAGGATGGATCTTTATTTTTAAAATGAAGGAAGAATAAAATTCAATATCTGAATTAAGAATTGCTGCACATGTAGAATTAAGGTGGAGGAAGGTTATTCTGCTCATATTTTAAAAGATCCTTTATCTGCTGTCAGCTGTCATTTTATCAGACATTAATGGGAAGATCACTACTAAAGAGACATCAGTGATTGGCATTGCCCCCAAGGAAGATGCTCCACAAGTAAGAAATGTTGTTGAATATTTAACATTCCCAGCTATCAGAATCATTCCTTAAATTGCAATTGATACCACTAATAATAAACAGTGCAGAAGCCAGCTCTTTATTTGTTTTATGTGAATGACTTTAAACCAGGTTCGTTGAACAGTTCAGTGTAGCTGACAGCGAATGTTTAACAGGAATGCGTAGCAGACCATGTTAAAAAATGTGGCATTGTCCCAAAGTACAGTATGACTAAGATACCCTACGTTTAGCAGCACCTTTTTGTAACAGTAACTTAAATGAGCAGTAGAGAAAGAGCACAGGGAAAACCGAAATGGGTTTGACAAAACCAGTAGAACTATTAACATTTCCAGCATTTCTACAAAAATCATGATTCTACAACTTGAGTAGATTAAGATTAAGCCTTTGTTGTGTGAAAGGACTGTAATTTTACATTTCACAAGCCAGGAAATACCCCATTATCTCTGGGATTCTCATTTACAGATATGCCCACTATACAGTTTCCGTGTATAGATGCTCTTATGTCAAATCCTGCAGTATAGTTTTTTGAGGAATACTCTGATTTGGACTAAAATGTTTCACAGTAAAGTGAAAAACTAAGAATCCAGGTACAGAATTTAACAAATGGAATTCATTATCATGACTCTTAGAAAAGGATTAATGGTAGCAGCAGGTTAGCTAAATACCAGTTATAGTTCAAGAATTTAAATATTCTAAAGTCATTATTGGGATGAAATTATGGTGTAGCAAAGGATGGGGCTGGTGATCAGCAACATCCTACCATGATGGAAAGTTTATCAGAAATATTTTATAAAATAATGTTAATTGGAATATGGTTTTCCAATGATGTGACTATTTTGCATCAATTTATATATTATGACTACAGTTTTTATATTCAATAAATAAATTCATATGTCAACAGTACAGAGCTAATTAACAAATACATTGATTCTGAGGGGAATGTTTTATATTAGCTGACAAAACTATATATATATATATGTTACTCATTTTTAAAACTGAGTTTTTTTCAGGGTAGAAGAAATGAGTTAAAAGTGAAACAGTTTTACTTATAAAGGTCCAAGAATATTTGGCAAGAACCTGGAATCATCAAAGGAGCAAAACAAAAAATAGATCAACTTATTTAACAAAATAGTTATGTACAAATCTGAAGTCAGGCATTTATAAATAGGCATTTTCCAGGGACAAATTTCAAGTGCTAGGTACCTGCATACCTAATACTGTCTTACTCGTCCAGTCGTCACTGGACAGAATGTACACTTAAGAGACATGGAGAAGCTTTTAGCCTTAGTGTGACAATCACAATTGCGAGCTGCTTACAGCCATACCACTGAGGCATAGAGATAGTATCTTCTTGCTTCCCCGTCAGAGTAGACATCTGTCATAGGAAAATATTCTTAACATTTTGTTCACTGCAAGTCACTCCATTTGCCCTGATTACTCCTGAAGAACAGAAACTTTGGTTTAAGAAGCACTTCTAGGTTTTGACAGACAGAAAAACTGTGCGGGTTGGTGGTGGGGGATGGCATGATCCGGAAATTGGGAGGTAACAGGAACGGTAGGCGGGGTTAAAAAGGAAGTGGGAGAAGTTAGAAAAATTTATTTTCCCACGAAATAATTCTACAAGCCGTGTAAACGTTTCTTACTATAACAAATATTCGAACACACACAGATTGTACATTTCCAGTGAAACATAGTTAAAAGTTGCCTGTACTTTTCACTCTCCAGGAGCCGAACGAGGAGCCAACAGATGAATGCTTCCCCAGTCACCTTTGGCAGCACGCTCCCCGACCGCTCAACGGAGCATTGAAGCAACATGCAGCACAACTCAGTACAAAGCCAGGTGAGTAGACTTCTGGATGTCAGTCTCTAGCATCTTCATTAGTCTTCAGCACTCAGATTCCTCTCAATCACTCACACACACTCTTACACACAGACGCACACACACAGTTCCGGCTCGTAGACTCCAGTGCAGTGACATGAGACACTAGCTACTAAGAATGTGTTTGTCACAATCAGTGTAAGCTGCATGGATTAGAACAACCTTTGGAGTTTGGTTATATTTACCATAATTTATGGTCAAAATTATAAACTTACAGGGGTGGTAAAACATTCAGAAACCAAACTTTTTCAAGTCAAGCAATCACACATATTTACAGTATGTACAGACTTTCTCCTAGAGTGGGGATAGGTGCCTAGACGATGTTATTACAAATTTCCTGAATGGGCATTTCTAGTCCCTGTAATTCATAAAGCAAATCTGCTGACTTGGCATTAAGACTCTAAAATAGTGTGATCAAACTGATATATATATACATATACATATGTATATATATATATTATATAATTATAAGAAGGTGTTTGCAGAAATAACATTTACAAACTGTCTATACAGTACACAGTACTAGTACATAGAAAATAGATTCTAACTTTATGATCCCCTTTGTGTAAGGCAGGACTGAATCTGTCCCCAAATTTAGTCAGCCAGAGGTACAAGCAAGAAACAGTGGTCCATGGATTAATGAATGTAAATCAGGTGCCTACATATTAAAAATCTGGAGAATCAAGAAATTCCACTTTTTATCTGGGCTGATTCTGGCTTGCTGGATACAGCAACTACATTTCTTAAAATACTAATGCCACAGACTTTGTTCAAGTGGCAGCTACCCCAGGCAGTTTTTGAAAAGTCCAGCACAGAACTGGAGGACTGCAGCTGTACCAGGCAAATTTATATAGCACTTACAAAAGAAAAAAATGTATATTAATACTCTATCTCATGCTATTGCTATTTAAGCAACAGCACTACAAAATATACAAGACAGATCACATATGATTGCAATGTAGACCCCAAAGATTTAGTGTGAGGATGCTTTTATCCAAGACTTGAAAGAAAAAAAAAAAAGAAGAAAAAAACACAAAAGGGCCAAAGTCATTGGCGGATGTAAACATCCCTGTTCCCCTCCCCAGCCTCATTCCGTTTTTTGGATAGTCCTTCTCCCTCCTTGTCACAGTAGCGATCCTTAGATTTATGACGGTTTCGTTGTTTGTTGCATTCGTTGTGGTCCTGCTCTCGCTCCAGGTCCCTGGAACGGTGCCGAGACTCCCTGTGTCTATGCTCACTGCTTCCGTGGGGCTCATCTCTGTGGTTATGGTCACGGTGGGGGGCATAGTGGTCTGCGTGGTCGTGCGGGTAATCTTCCTTCGGCTCCACATAGGCAGAGTCTCGACTGTCCTGGGTTTCTGAGTCAAACGTCTCTTGCCTGGAGAGGCCTCGACTCGTACCACTGCGATGATTGTGGTGCTGAGCTGAGGACCGGTGCTGGGATTTCTTGACTGGCTCCAGGCAGGGTTCTTCTTCAGCTTGGGAAGCAGCCCGGGCGGGAGCAGAGCGCTCGGTCCTCTGATCATTTTGAGAACCCTGGCAGCAAAGGGAGAAAACTCAGGCATCAGACAAGGTCAGAGTATAAGGAACCACTGTGTCATAAAGCAAGTTCATTCAAGTTTAATCCTTTTTAAGTATCTAAAATGCTGAAATGAAATCTCACCAGCTAAGTTATGATGGGTAGTGGCATTTCTAAGGTTTTATACTGTATATGACTTTAATTCATAAGTGCCTAGAACACTGCATAGAATAACCTTTTTATCTAAATGACCAAATGGAAAGAGGGCATTCTTTTATATGTTTTCTTGTGGTTTAGATACAGGTTTTTCTATACACAGCTGTGCATACTTAGCTACCTCTGCTTGAATACATGTGGGAAGATTAAAAATCTGTAGGGTGCTGGCATTGGCTTAAGGTAAGGATGAAGGATAAAATGTGACATGTTTAAATGGCACACACTACGAGACAAGCCCTCTTCTCTAACAGTCACCTCTCAACTCATTACCACAAGCCTGAGACAGGGTGCCAGTATTGTTCCTGGAGCAGATGAGGGCCTCATCCAAAGTTATAAGAGGCATAGCCCCAAATTGCAGCCAGGCTGTCTGATGCTGCTGTGTAGAAAGTTCTTTTAGTCTTGTCTTAAAGAACATGTAGATAGGGAGTTCTAAGGTTTCTATATATTCATAGCATTTTCTCTTTACACTGCTTTTCTTACAGGTACAGTCTCACTGAAGGTGTTTATTAAATGACTCAGTGTCGACAGAGCTTCTGCACTGGCACAAGCACGGGGCTGGACATCTGGGCTCAAGCCCCCGCAACGTGACCTGAGGCAGCCTGGTTTCTCCACGAAGCGGGTCAAGGACTCCCCTTACCTGTGAATTGGAGGCTGGAGCGGGACTAACAGGCAGAGTTGAAGTGGCTAAACTGCGGCTAAGGAGAGGGTTGGGGAGGCTGCTGCTGGGGGGGTGGGTGGCCTTCCAGTAGGCCTCCAGGTAGTCAGCAAGGTGTTCACAAGCGTCCTCGAGCTGGTTCTCATCCAGGATCACATCGAACAACTCCTGCAGAAGCAAACATTGGAGGCACGCTCACACCTGCCCAGTACTGACTTTCACACTCCTCCACCCCGTATAGGAAGGAGCGGGGAGGCCTGAGCTGCACCACTTTGCATTTGATCTTGTGTGCTTCTATTTAGTCAGAGTAGGTCATTGTTTAGAATAACAATGACCAGAAAGAGAACTAGTTGTAATAATAGTTGTTAAATGGCACAATAGAAAAGCTGCCTGTCACTAGTGAAAAAAGGAGTTGACACTATGGTGAAAGAGATGTAAAATGAGAATACAGTCTGTACCTCTTTCGACATAGAGACTGCGAAAGTTTAATCTTGGAAATGAATGAGGCAAGATTAGGACAGGAAATGTGGCAGAAGCTGAAACCAGTGATGATTTGACATGGTACAAGCTTTAAGTATTAATTGTGATTAACACTTTGAAGTATTGACCATAATTCTTGGAGCTTCTGAAATACTTGAAGACAGCTATAGTCCCAAGGCCTGATATGTAAAGCATAGATTAGAATTAGGAATGGATTCAGATGTCAGAATCTGGGTAACTGTTTAGAAATTTGTTTTTACATGGTCTCAAATCAACTTCTCAGTTGAGAGAAAGCAAGTTGTTCCCTATGATTAACAGGATTAACTAACTCCACTAACTCCAGATAGATCTGATAAACCATAATCTTATTTACTATACTAATAAGGTAACCACAGAACTTGTAGCTTCTTGTCAGCCATGAACTGGACAAAGCAAGGGTGGGACAGTTTACTTCTTTGGAATGCAGTTGTCTGGTAAGCTTTCTGTCCCTCGACAGGCATTTAACTGCTTGCTTTATAATGTCATGCCAGGTCTGATCTCTGTATTTGGATTCTACTGGACATGGAAGGGAACTTACTGGAGGACACTGAGACAGTTTATCAGCTGCTACCATCTGGACGTTGAGGTGTTTAGCTTGAGATTTCCCTCGAGATTTTATTAACCTCTGTAAAACCTGTAAAAGAGGATTTTTTTAAACAGAGGGATATCCACACTGAGGTAAATGACAAGATTCAGTATTTGGTCCTCTGGGGCCATTTTATATGTAGCACAAGTGGCTTGTAATAGATTGAGCTAGACATATATAAGATTATCTGCAAAATTAACATTTTAACAATCAGTTGCATGCTATAAAAAAGATACTAGCATGGAACGTATTCTGAGTCTTTTTCAAGACTAACGTTATCAAACTATCTCATGAGAAACCCAAAAAGTATTTTATGTGAACTATACCTAATGTTTCCTATATTAGAAATTAAAAGTATTCATTTAAAAATTAACAGTAAACCGGATACATGCTAATATGTTTTTTATAAAAACTCCCCTTTTTGTAACTCTCAAGTGCCTGGCCTCATAGATGACAACCAAAGTCTCTTATTTGCTTCCACAGGTAAGGTGTGGTTTTGGTTGAAACGTGAAGAAAACCTAACCTCCTACAGCTATGTAGTTGAGAAAAATATTTTAGTGGCCTTTTCAGATAATTGTAGATATTCTTTGTACTGTAGAAACATGGAACCATATCAACGAGCCTGTCTTACTATTAAATTACATTAGTCTATCTTGAAATCTGAATGATTTGTAACATCATCGATCATTTGGAAAATAATGGTGGTTCACTACTGAGTACTTAAGATCTTCCAAATGTTGACACATTTCATTATACAATAAAACATATTTGTTAGTAATCATCGATCTCATTAGAAAAGTCTTTTATCTGTTGGGAAGCTTCTATGCTGTCAAAGGTGAATACAAGTTTTCTAGAATTCTAATTTTTGTTTGAAGGCTTGAGTTTTATCATTGGTAACAGCAGCTCTTCGATATTTTCTGGAAAAAAGTGAGTCTGTCACATCAAGGAAAACAACTGCCAGGTACCCAAGTCAGAATATGCATAGCCTGTCAGTTCTTTCAAATAAAAATGGAGTTCCATAAAAAAGCTACTTAGTTCACAACTCGAATAATCGCACCAGTGCTTGTCCTCAAGATAGCTAACCTACTGGAGTATATGCAGACTAAGTGTACGTCCTAGATTCAAAACGTAATAAAAATAAGTTAAGCTGGTTATTGGGTTGGGTATTTTTTAACTGCAAGTGGATGGGAAGAATACAGCACCTGCTATTACTGTGTCCCATAGTCTTGATTCGTGCTTAGACACTTGCAGTTTTACGTACCATTGCTTTTGAAACATCAGTGCAAATATCAAGGCAGTGAAAAAGGTGTGACTGTTCAGTAGTACTATGGAAATGGTTTTGAAGCTTCCGGACTCCCTGAAAGTGTCTAAGAACTGTCCCTCCAGGGGTTCTACCACTCTTTTCTTTTTGAGATCAGCTAGTCTAAGCCATGAAACTAATAATCATGCTATGTTTATATCGATCATAAAAAGCGACTAACATCTCTTCAAACTTTTTATAATGGATAAAGACATAGCCTGTTCTAACTGGAAAAAGAACATAAACACACATCTTAGTAAACTTCGATTAAAGAGCACACAGTAGCGGGTCTACTTACCTTTGGAGACGAAATCTTAACATACACTACGATGGGGGCCAAAGAGGTTTTGCTAAGTTGAGCTGGATGATTGACAGTGTCCGCGTCAAGGACCACCAGCTGCAGTGTTCTTGCAAGCTCAAAAATCCTTTCTATTTCACTTTGAACTTCCGCTGTAAAAAGTTAAGCAGCGTTTGATTACTTAAATCACTTTTAGAGCCAGTTGAGATAAAATGGTACACTTTCTTCAACAGGAAGGTCGGTAGGTCAGCCATTAGGTTAATATTTACAAGCAGTAGAGCTGATAAAAGCTGTTTCTCTACATCTTGAGAATTCCTCTCTCAACTAGCTATAGAATTTACTTTCAGTAAAATGCTTATGTCTGAAAATCAAAAATTTGGATCTCTGATTACATCACACTATGAAATCATTCTATAAAAATGCTATAAAATGAAAACAAGATATTTTCCATGTGTTTGGTTCTGACCCTAGCAACCATCACCAGCTCTCCTTTCACTGCACGGGCTTCTCTGTTTATAAGCACCTACCTGTATGCTTTCTGGATATGATGGAGCCTAGATATCTTATTAACAAGCTGAAATACAACATAAAATAGAAGAGACATCGAGTGTCTATAAAACTTGTCCAGAAACGCACTTTTGTTGATGTTGGTGGCAGACAGGAGAATGGTCCTACAACATTCATATTTTAAAAAGGCACTTAGCAGCAGGACTACACAAATCTAAACTCTAAGATATAGAAAACTTATTATCATTTAAAAATCTGCTTCTCTATGGTCTCTCCGAAGTCTAAAACAGGAAAATAGAATTTTCTGCAGTGATGGAAATATTCTATGGCAACACCAGCTAGTGTGAATGAGCAACTAAACTTTAAAAATGTAAGTGATTTAAAATTAAATAGCCAGAAGCTACTGTGCTGTGCAGCACAGATCTATAAAGCGTGACATGTAGCTTCCAGTACCTACGGCAATCATGAAAGGCCAAGTCCGTGAGACTTCTGGACCTACAGAATGACTTCTTAATCACCCTTATGCGTTTGGAGTCATGCAGAAGATTCTTGGAGACAATTTTATTAACTAGTATATTCAAGAAAAGCCAAGCCACTATTGTGTGCCTCATAATATGTTATGATCAGAGTCCTTTTATTAACCTGCTGTCTTTAAAATAATATTTGGTCACATGCTAGCCATGATACAATCTTGCTGAAAAAAAAAAAAAAAAAAAAAACCTCAAGCTGATTAAGCTTTTGGGTCTACCAGTTTATAAGACACAGAAAACGGACAGTCATATAAACAGTGTAATGCAGTTAGCAAAATTCAAACCAGACCCCTACCGAATAATGGACCCAGTTTCTTCAAGCAAAAAATTACAAAGAAAAATAAAATGGAAAACTATAGATTAAGACACTCAAGGACCTACAAACCAATCACAGTGTATAGATTTTATAACATGACAATTGGGAAATGATGTGCGGCTAAGTGGAGATCTTAGGGATGTATTAAAGTATGAAAATGGCATTATGGTTATGGTTTAAATAAGAGTCTCTAATATTTAGAAATACATAATGAAATAGTTACAGATAAAACCATATGCTATCTGTGATTTGCTTCGAATAATCCACAAACAGCAGGAAAGGAAGGGCAGGACTGGAAATGAAACAGGGCTGGCCAGGAATGGATGATAAATGAAACTGGGTGATGAGGACCCGAGGTTCCTCCTACTCTTTACTTTCATATATATTTTGATTTCCTTTAATAACACTTTTAAAAAATAAAAGTATTTCAGTAAGTCTTTTCATAATGTTCTAAAACATTACTATTATTATTACTCTAACTCTTCCCTGTTGATCTTTAAATTTTTATTTCAAGTATAACCTCACTTCTTCGTACCCTACAAATGTTTTCATGGCCATCGACCCCCAACAATCAAGTTACACTCTGATACTTAGTGTAAGCATTCAGAAAGCTGACCAGGCCACAGCTAACATCGTACTCAATGGCAAAAAGGTAAAAACTTTTTCTCTAAGATCAGAAACAAATAAAAGGCATTGAATAGGAAAGGAAGTAGTAAAAACTATTTTGCAGATGATATTATATATAGAAAACCTTAAAGATTACACCAAAAAACTGTTAAATGAATTCAGTAAATTCAGTACAGTTGCAGGATACAAAATGTCCATAAATCGGTTGCATTTTTATACATTAATAATGAACTATCAGAAAGAGAAATTGAGAATCCCATGGACAATTGCATCAAAAAGTATAAAATACCTAGGAATAAATGTAACCAAGGAGGTGAAAGACCTGTATACTGAAAACTGTCAAGACACTGATGAAAGAAATTGAATACAAATAAGTGGAAAGATATTCCATGCTCATGGATTGGAAGAACCAGTATTTTTAAAATGTCCATACTACCCAAGGCAATCTTCATATTCAACACAATCCCTTTCAAAATTCATACTTAACCACAAAGGACCCCAGACTTGAAAAGCAGTTTTGAGAAAGAGGAACAAAGCTGGAAGAGGCCTTAAGCTTCTTGATTTCAAACTGTTTTACAAAGCTATAGTAATCAAAACAATACGGTATTGGCATAAAAACAGACAGATAGCTCAGTGGACCAGAATAGAACCCAAAAGTAAACCCATGCATGTATGATCAACTAATTTACAACAAAGGAGCCAAGATATACAATGAGGAAAGGCCAATCTCTTCAGTAAATGGTTTTGGAAACACTAGGCAGCCACATGCAAAAGAATAAAACTGGACCTCTATCTTGTACCATACACAAAGATCAACTGCAGATGGATTAAGCTTGAACTTGAGACCTGGAACTATAAAACTCCTAGAAGAAAACAGGCAGTAAGCTCTTTGACATTGGTCTTGGTGATGTTTTTTTTTAAAAAATTTGACAACAAATGCAAACACAACAAAGCAAAAGTAAACAGGTGGAACTACATCAAACTAAAAAGCTGCACAGCAAAGGAAACCAACAAAATCTGAAAGAGAAAATAATTGCAAATAATATAGCAAATAATATATTTGATAAGGGGTTAATATCCAAAAGTAATAGAGAACTCGTACAATTCAATAGCAGGAAAAAAAAATTTAAAAATGGGCAGAAGATCTGAATAGACATCTTCCCAAAGACATACAGATGGCCAACAGGCACATGAAAAGATGCTCAACATCAATGTCAAGGAAATGCAAATAGCGTAATGAGTTCTCACCTCATACCTGTCAGAATGGCAGTAATCAAAAAGTTGACAAACAAGTGTTAGAGAGAATATGGAAAAAAAGGAACCCTTGTGCACTACTGATGGTAGTGTAAATTGGTGCAGCCACTATAGAAAACAGTATGGAGGTTCCTCCAAAAATTGAAAATACAAGCACCATAGAATCCAGCAGTTTCATTTGTGGGTATTTATCTAAAGGAAATGAAAACACTAATTTGAAAAGATACCTGCTCCCCCATGTTCCCTGCAGCATTATTTACAATAGCCAAGGCATTGTAATCAGTTCTCGCGGCACTTTCGCAGTCACTCAGGGACATGTACGCGGCAGCAAAAGTGGAGCCCAATGCACGTGCTAGCTGAGGTCAAACAGGTTGACACTCCGCCTTCTTATTTCAGCTCTCATTCTATAAACAAGTATCCTTTTGTGATCTAGTGCCATGTTTTTCTCATTTTTGTGGTATGTATGTGTGTATGTGAGGGGGTGGGGAGAGAGGGAGAAACTAAAACATCCCCCCAATGAAATGCTGTCCAGTGTTCCTAAGTGCAAGATGCCTTCTGGAAAAAGTGTGTTAGCTAAGCTTTGCTCAGGCATGGGTTATAGAGCTGTTAGCTGTGAGTTTAATGTTAATGCTCAACAATATATCAAATAAGGTGTCTTTAAACAAACATGTAGAAAACAAGGTTAAATACTGATCAGCTGATAAAGATGTTGTGGCCAGAAGATGGCAGGAACTTATCCCCACATTCC